TTTTCGGATCTGGAAACGCGGGGCAGCGACCATATACCAACTTACCTGTGTATAGAAGGTTTCACCAGCTCCAAGTCCTCAAGAGGCCTCAAGTACACCGATTGGCCGAAATTCAAAATGTTAATGGAAGACTGCTGTACCGACGGCTCATCATATAACCTAGAGGACTCGATAAAGGATGTCCTGCAGAATACCACGCATACACATTTGACTAGTCACAAGCGCACCGATTTCGACATCGAGCTTGAGAAACTTCGCGCAATACGCCGTCGTGCAGAACGAAGGTACCGACGGACAAAGTGCATGGATGATTTGAGGCTGGCTAGACGCATTCAAAAGAAAATGCAGCGGCACATGGATAAACTGGCTAGGCGACGTTGGACATCCTTTTGCGAGTCGTTGGATCCACGAAAGCCCCTATCACTGATATGGCGAACTGTCCGGGGTCTTAGCACAACCTTGGGTCAGCGACACCCGTTTACATCTCTGGCACTTCACCTTCGATGCAGAGAGATTGACGTCGCAGAATCTTTCTGTAGAAGAATCGCCGGTGATTCCAATTCACAGTATCAAGAACGGAAACTTTTGACAACCCACCGCCCTCACGTGATCCCCGTATGGAATGCCAGTTTCTATGGATGAGCTAGAGGCGGCACTGGCTCTGTGCAGACGTTCTTCAGCACCCGGTCCTGACGGCATTACCTATCGTGCCCTTTGTAATCTTGGAGACGAAGCTCGGAAGGGCACTCCTTACGCCTAACCAACCGACTCCTGGCAGTGGTACTGTTCCCAGGCATGGAAGTCAAGTCGCCTCATTCCACTTTAAAGGCTGGTAAATCTCCTTTGGATATTGCCTCATACCGTCCTATCGCACTTGCCAGTTGTGTGGGAAAAACGATGGAACGAATGATTCTAACACGAATGGAGTGGTATTTAGAGCACTACGAAATCTATCCAGTATCCATGACCGGATTCAGGCGTGGCCATTCGTCAATCGACAACGTTGTTGATCTGGTGACATATGTTCAACACCAGAAAGCCTGTAAGAGACTGTGCGCCGCCCTGTTTCTAGACGTTAAGGGGCTTACGACATGTCACCATGAAGCCATCCTTAGTGCTTTGGAAACGGTAGGTCTTGGTGGCAAGATATATATGTGGGTGTACAGCTACTTACAGCTGAGATCATTTTACGTGATGACAGCGAATGGCCCAACACTGATTATTACAGCAGCCGAGGAGTTCCTCAGGGAGGAGTGCTAAGCCCTACCCTTTTCAACCTAACTCTCATTGGTCTAGTCGAGCAGCTACCTAGCACTGTAGAACTTTCTGTCTATGCTGATGACATCTGCATTTGGACATCAGGTGTGACAAGGCCTCAGCTTCGCGCCCGCCTTCAGAAGGCTGCTACAACGGCGTCATGCTATCTTCGTAAACAAGGCCTCGAGGTGTCCTGCGGAAAGTGTGCAGTGGTAGCGTTCACGCGGAAACCAATGTCTGCTTACAGTATATCGATTAATGAGAATACATATCGTTCAGCAGAAGCCACAGGTTCTTGGGAGTCATAATAGATAGAAACTGTCGTGGACTCCACACGTGAACTATGTGAAGAAGCGGCTGATCGCAACATGCCACATGCTCAAATTCCTTGCAGGAAAAAATTGGGGAGTGCCCATATCATCCATGCTACAACTGTACAGGGTGCTGTTTATCGGATTCTTACGGTACAGCTTACCTGCAATGTCTAACACCGGCAAGACCAACCTGCGCGCAATTCAGAGCATTCAAGCCCAAGCACTTAAGATATGCCTTGGAATACCCCGCAGTGCTTCAACGGCTGAAACCATTGCCATCGCTCAAGATCACTCGATAAATACGCATATTATTACCGAGACAATGCGCATGCACCTGAGGCATTATGCCAGGACCCCTTCTCACCACCTGGCGAGTCTAGCTGCTGAAAGGCCCCGCACGACATACGGCACTATTGTCTCCAAGCATCGTTCATCGTTTGCTGAGACATACGCACCTGCATCAAAGCCACTGCTTCCTCCTTGGAGCTTGAGCTGGCCGCGAGTTCACTTAATGATTCCAGGAATGAGGAGAAAATCGGACTTACCGACACATGCCCTGAAACAACTGAGTCTATCCCTACTGGAAGAAAACTACAGTAACCACGTGCACATTTACACGGATGGCTCTACTACGCCGTCTAGTTCAGGTGGAGCAGTGGTTATACCATCACAAGGGATAACTCGGTGTTTTAAGACTTCACATGTGACGAGTTCGACGACGGCAGAACTCGAGGCTCTGCGCAATGCACTGGAACACATCAATTCAGAAGAAAGACCAGGTAAATGGGCGGTGTTTTCTGACTCAAAACCAGCGTTACAGTGCCTGATATCAGTTCTCCGACGCGGATGCCACGACCAGTTGACCTACCAAACCGTGAAACTACACCACCTGTTAATACAAAAAGGCCATGACATCGTCTTTCAGTGGTTACCTGGGCATAGTGGTATAGGCGGCAATGATTCTGCAGATCATGCTGCTCGCACGTCACATAAAGAAGGGAACAGTGTTCCGATACCGCTTTCAAGAGCGGATGCGGCGAGGCAGAATCGTCAACTGGCCCGCAGTCTCACACTGACCGAGTGGAACACACCAAGCATACGACGTACACGACTGCACGAGCTCGACCCATCACTACAACTCCGGCCTCCACCCGGCCTACATCGACGTGAAGCTTCGCTTCTCTATCGCCTTTGGCTGGGAGTTGCTTTCACGAAAGCTTATACCACGTTAATCAGAATTACTGACAGTGCGGCGTGCGATGTTTGCGGCACCGACGAAAATATCGAACACCTGCTGTGTCATTGTCCTCGATTTGCCTCAGAGAGACAAGTACTTGCCAACGCAATGCGGCGACTGGATGATCGGCCTCTTTCTGTGCAGGTGCTATTACAGCAACGTACACATGCCTCGACAGCCCACAAGGCAGTGAAAGCCCTGCTGCGATTCCTGAGAAAGACAGGCTTGTGTGAACGCCTCTGACATGCGGTAGATTTCTACACGCTGCAGTGAAATTACTGTCAGTCTCTCCCCCACCCCCTTTTTTCCCTCTCTTCCCTCTTTCTTGTCTTTCTTGTCCCCTTCCTTTATCCGCCAGTGTAGGGTAGCCAACCGGATGTCTTTCTGGTTAACCTCCCTGCCTTCTCCCTTTTTGTTGCTTCCTTCCTTCCTGCTTGTTAATTCACGCACTTTAGTGTTCATTTTGTGTGCTAATTTGTTTCATGTTATGCATGATTTCCAAGCGAATTATGTACCCACCCCTGAAATGTCTCTCCATGAGGTGGCAGTGTATATAAATAAAATGAGAATTTTTTATATTAAACAAGCAGTTTTTTACTACTTCTCTTCAGCATAGTCGTAAGCGTGAACTGAAGCGTGCGTCAACGTAATTAGCGCGACATCTCTTAAATTATCATTCCTCTCTATTGCGTATAGTGTAGCCCCGCCGCGGTGGTCTAGTGGCTAAGGTACTCGGCTCCTGACCCACAAGTTGCGGGTTCATATCCTGGCTGCGGCGGCTGTATTTCCGATGGAGGCGGAAATGTTGTAGGCTCGTGTGCTCCGATTTGGGTTCACATTAAAGAACCCCAGGTGGTCGAAATTTCCGGAGCCCTCCACTACGGCGTCTCTCATAATCATATGGTGGTTTTGGGACGTTAAACCTCACATACCAATTGCGTATAGTGTGCTTTGTCATGGTGCCCTGTAATCCTGCTTGAGTTTGTAAAATACATTTTTTCATTACCAATATATATACATGTATATATATATATATATATATATATATATATATATATATATATATATATATATAGAAGAATAACTTCGGTTGCCGCAAGGTTATAAATATGAAAGTAGATGCGTTTTCACATAACAACTGTTTATTGTGCTGACGTTTTGACAGGAACCCCGTCGAAACGTCGGCACAATAAACAGTTGTTATGTGAAAGCGCATCTGCTTTCATATATATATATATATATATATATATATATATTGAATGAACTATATTGAATGAATTGAATGTTCGTGCTCTGACGAAGACCGTGCCACGACCGAAACGTTAGTAAATGCAATCTCCTTTTCAAATGTGCTATCTGCAAGTTCATTCAATATATATATATATATATATTAATATATATATATATATATATATATATATATATATATATATATATATATATATATATATATGTGTGTATATATATATATATATATATATATATATATATATATACTCGTGACATCAATTATAACAGGTAAAAAAGATATAATTTTAGGACAAATGTGTGTCTTATGAAGAAGTAATTGGTGTGTGAGAGCATACCTGCATACTGTTTCAATGACACGGTTTTTTGTAACACACTGAGCTAGGTAATGTTATCGTTTGCGTTAGTACCCCAAACTGCCAATTCTTAGTTAAGTATTGGATGAAATAATCATGGTACTGAAACATACAGATAATTTTGTGGCATTTGAAATAGACATGGCGCATCACACCGATCGTTTTGGATAACTGACTAATTAGGTAATTTATATGGGCCCCCCATGTCTTGTATTCATTGAAATAGACGCCTAAAGTTCTTATTGAGGATAAAAACTCAATTTACATGCCATTTATTGTTCTTATTGCTAGTTAAACAGTCTTTTTCTGCGGTCGAAACAAGATTGCCTTAGTTCTGCAAATGCTGATATTAAGTGGTGTTGAGTAGTCCTGTAATTTGTTTTTAATAGCGCTTCGCTATCTGAAATGTCTAAGTCCGTTTCTCAGCTCCCTGAAAAATAATAAAGTGATGTAATCTGCATGCATAATGGATAAGTAGGTATCATTATGGTTGTATCAATTTATCAATATAGCTGTATCGCTAATACTTGTTTGAAGTATAGTCGCCCACATAGTTTAACATGTTTATCTTCTTTTTACTGGACGCAGAGGAAGTTCTTGGTCTGGCTGGAGGTGAAGTGTCCTTGCCCTGTGGTAGCTCACAGTTCCCCGGCCTCGCGGAGGATGACGAGCCCATTCTTGTTCTCTGGTTCCGAGAAGGGTCGGCCACGCCCATCCTCAGCGCGGATGCACGTCGGGGTGGTGGACTTGCCAACGCCAAGGTGAGCGTTTACATCGTGATGACGCTGAACGTACGCAGACCTTTAACCATCAGCCTTAAACAGAGCACCAGCTTCGCGTTTCTAATCGAACTGCTTCGTTTGAATAATTGTATTTACATGTCCAATTTAAGCGCATTGCCTTCAGCGCCACCTCATCGGTCCAGAACAGGACATTTCCTGCGGCAACAACGTATTTAAGATATAAGATGAACATGTTATTATTTAGTTCACTTGAAAAAGCTAGCGAAAAAAATCCCCGCCCGAGCACTCCGTACAAATGGTTAACCAGTGAAAGCTGGAACATGCGGCCCGTGCGTTTAGCAGTGTTTTCAACACGACGCTGCTCTCAAGCCTTTCACAATTCACGGTTACATGTTTGTGTTTGTTGTTGACGTCAGACACTCGTTTGGCTTGGGTGTGTACAATGTTTATTTCACATGCCGCACATTGTGTCTCGCATGACCGCGGTAACAGAGGAATGTATTAAGCGGGTAAATGTGCTTTGTAATGCGTTAGTCACAGGTTGCTAACGAATGGCAGACGGCCACAGACGTCACAGCCGAAACCGAGGCGCCACTGGAGAAACTCCCGCTGAAAGCAGCGTTCTCCCTAACGAACGCGCTTCCGTATTCATCACGTTAACGCTGTTGTGCCCGCAACGCTGCTTGTTTGCGCACCGTTGCTGCACGTGTTTGACATCGCGACCTAACTCGGCGGCGCGGTTTGCAGGACCCACCCCGCCACAGGGGCTTGCATTTCAGTTCACGAATTAGTGTGGCCATGAACGTTGCCGGATCATCGCTACGCAGTTGCAGCCGGCGTTCGGCCTCTCGGGCCTGTTTTTGTGCCATGACTGCAGCATTGGCCCGGCGAACGCGAGGTCTTTCACGTTTCCAGTGTTGGTGCTAATCTAAAGTTGTCCGCTGTTGAAGAATTCGTAGGAACGGTGACTTATTCATGTAGAAGCTCTCACTAGAAAGTTAGAAACTGATGTGCGCGTGTTCTGCGCCACGGCTGGTACAAGATTGGGGACGTCCCTCACAGTACAGTCAATGACGTGCGTGCTTGAGTACGACGCTGAAAAACACGTAACTGATACCACAACCAATGAATACCGCTAGTGACACCGATGCCGAATGGTTCTTGGTTTCTCCTAGCCATATACAGCTTTTGCTGTAAAATGTACTACAACGCCTCGCTTGGCAGCACGTTGTGACATGTACTGTAGTGTACGTTGATTGTTCTTGTTTAGTGATGACTTTTGCTGCATAGGATGTTTAGTTGAAGCGGTTCCGCTTCATAATATTACTTTTAAGGTTGAGTGGTTCAGGTGCGATTTTTTTCTACGTTCCCAACTACTTGATTACCCACTTGCACAAAGGAAACCGAGTGTGTACTGAGTGCCACGTAAAGATAAAGTAGCACTGCACGAGTCTTCCAAAGCTGTCACAATGATTGACGGCGACATTGAAGGGAAGAAATAAGATAAGAAAATAAGATAAGATAAATAAGATAAAATACGATAAATAAGAAATAAGGAAGAGACATCTTCAGTGGATGTGTATTTTTCAGGTGAGAAAGTATTGGAAAAGAAAACATACAGACTTCGTGTTCCAGTTTTAACGCCATGACAGCGGGTCCTTTAAATTTAAGTGAGTTCCTTGGTGGTTTTCTAGGGTCACATGTGCGGGAAGGCTTCGTGTCAAACGTACTGCCTTAAAGCCATTTTGGTGGCTGTAGCAGGACTTGAAGTCCAAAAAATGGGGCAAGCATTTGGAAGCTCCCGGTGAGAAGAAATGAAATCTTCTGAAGAAAGAATTGGCGCCAGCTGACACCGTGTTCGAGTCCGACAGAGAAAAGAAAAGAGAAAAAAAATATCGTGAAGTAGGAAGAGTGTAAACAAGGCGCAGTGTTGAGGTGAAAGCGTGTGCTGGCCAATCTGTGGAAAATTACATTTCATCTTCTGCACTACTGAAGAAATAAGTAAAAAAAAAACAAAGAAGCGAGAATAAAAAGCGAGAAAGAGTATCCTGTCTATTGACGTGTTCTTGGACACGCATGTGGCAGCGCTGAATCGATGAAAAGTCATTCGTGAAACAAAAGAAACTATGAAATAAAACCAATAGTAAATATTTATCAGCCTACTAAAGCCGAAAGAAAGTGACATCCTGTTGCAGGACACGCTCGCCGCTGCATCTAGTTTGTTTCGGAATAATGGATTGATGGAATGAATGAAAAACAGCGACAAAAGCAGCGAGACTTGTGTCAGAATTCGTTCGTCGACGTTACCGGGAAGAATCTAAAGTCTGCAGATGGAAATCAACAGGATGTGATGGGTGGTAAAAGCCGAAGCAGGTTGTGTCGTCAGATTTATTTGCCGCTGACGTACTACGAGACGGGATTTTGCAAGAAATGTCAATTTGCTAAGGACATGGACACCCATAAAAAAATCGGGTGCATGGGGATCTACATTTGCAATTTCTATATCCCCCAAGATCTAACAATCTCTCATAAAGTTCCCAAAAATTCCAGCCTGTTTTATTGGGCGCTTTTCCCCTTCAGGTGTCAGGTGGTGACCAAGATACCTATGGTGATCACATATCCACAAAACAGCACGTAAGGCACAAGCATGCTCATGTACACAAGATAGCGATGCAAAAACGTGCGGAACATTGTGCGTTTTTCGAGAACATGAACATCGCTTTTTTGGGGCGCATCGCAGAACCGCCGTTTTTCTACTGTCCAAGAAGAAGCCGAAGCTTTCATTGCGAACGAAATGCTGCCTTTAGAACTTGTCGCGCCGCGTCGTAACAAGAACAGTCACCCGAGACGTCTTTGTGAGGAATACATAATATGGCTGTGCAAAAAAAAACATACAGACAAAAGAGAGTACTCAAGGTGGGCGCAAACTTCAACATAAGGCCAAAGCACCTCAATATGGATTAACATTAGTCTGACACGTGATCATCAAACACAACGAAAATTAAAAAGATAAGGCACACCATAGGTATAAAAAATGGCACCGTATTTGCATGTTTCACTGCAAATGTCGTCAAAAGACGATAGTTTTGCGTGTGGAGAGAGTGAACAAAGCACTCATTTGATGTTCTGCGTAAAAAAAAATTGGTGAATTGTATTCTGAAAGCGCTGCGTCAGAGTCTCGATCCGTGCAGCGAAGGTGAACGAGCGCATCGAGGCACGTTTGACACGAGCGCTGTCTGGCAGTTATTTTCGAAAATGAAGGAAGGCGTGCACGCCCACGGAGAAATATGCGCGCCTGTATTGGAGGTGAGGAGATGTACGTAGGATGCCAAGCGACGGGCAGGTGCCACCACCGTGTCGGCAGAGCGTTGGAAACACTTGCCTTTTTGAGCATCGTGTTGCACTGTCAGTGTAGCGTGATTAACGCTACAGTCCTTAGAATTATTTGTGTGAGCTTTCTCTAGTAAAGGGGATAATGAGGGTTAACAGTGAAAGTGCCTTAGACTGACTGGCCGATGTTTCGGAGGACCTATCTTTTTCAAAGGCGCTGTGTCATGGTTGCCGTGTTAGTTGATGTCACCACTAAACCCTTTAAAAATAACACACCAAAGATGACACGGCGCCTTTGAAAAATATAGGTCCTCCGATCAAAACGTCGGCCAGCCAGTCTGAGGCACTTTCACTGTTAACCCTGATTACCCATGTACGTTGTTTCCATCTGTCGGCTCTCATCTAGATTTTCTCTAGCATAAAGACACACGTACAAATTATCCACGTGTTGTTATGGTGCCGACAGACAGACAGACAGACAGACAGACAGACAGACAGACAGACAGGCAGGCAGGCAGGCAGGCAGGCAGGCAGGCAGGCAGGCAGCAGGCAGGCAGGCAGGCAGGCAGGCAGGCAGGCAGGCAGGCAGGCAGGCCAAAACTTTTGCATCAAAGTACCCCAAGAAAGACTTGTCTTTGAAAAAAACTTGAGTACAAACGCCAAAGACTTGATAGTGATATGAAATTAACAGTGATCGAAAAAGGCATACACACAGGCTGCAAACTCGAAAATAGTGCACTTTTGAAGGAAATTACTAGGCGTCATTACTGAAAATCATCTAAAAAGTGCAGCTCCTTACGAAGCAATGTCATGGAGGTCAAGGTTAAGCATTTGTACCTTCTAGAAATGAGAAAGACCTCCATTATATCCCTTTCCATTTTGTCGTTAGACTTGTACAGGAGTAATGTCTTCGTTGGGTATGGCGCACATTCGCATCACCTACAGTGCTAATCGAGTTGTCCACCCGATTGAGAACGATGGATTAGTCTGTGCTCCCGCACCGTTTCATGAAAGCAGCGTCCCGTCTGTCCTATGTAGCAATGGCCGTAAGACAGGGGTACTTTGTAAACCACACGTTATAGTATCAATGGAGGGATCAATCTGCCGCTTACCACAGGGCATGTGCTTACTTTTGTGCATCATTCTACAAATTTTCATCAACTTGCATGGAGCGGAAAAGACAGTCCTCACCCCGTAACGCTTAGAAACGCTTTTCGTATTCTGTGGCACGCTGTGAGTGTAGGGCATTACATGCACTGTTTTTTTTTTTGCCTCACAATCTTACAGGTAATGGTAAACGTAGCCAGAGTGTGACGGAAAAAAAACCAGTGCATTTAATGCCCTACAGCCATCGCGTGTCACACGCCGTAGTTCAGACAGGACTCCTGAAACAGTGACGAGACAGTAGAACAGGTACTGTGTTTTTGGGACCGCTCAGTGGGCTGACGCAGTCCTCTTCGCATTCATTTGAATCAAGTAGGCAATAGGCCATGTTCAGAAGAAAAGATCTGCTTGCACGCGTCGTAGGTCGGCAAGGCGACGCGGGCATGACCATTGTTTTTCTAATCAAAGGGTTATGGAGAAATATTTTCAATATTCATAGCACGCTGCTTTTTCTTATGCATTTTAGAAGTGTGGCAGCTTGGGCTAGTTGGTATGACTTGACGATAGTTAAGGCGCGAGAACAG